TGTCCGTCTGTCTGTCTCTCTCTGAGGGTTGGAACAGCAGGCAGCAAGCTGTGAGGCTAACTGTGAAGCTAGCAGTGTGTCCTTACACTCACTGTCCGTATGAAACTCTCTTTCGCGCCGCAGCAGCTCCACTTCGAGCAGCTAACGTTAGCCTGTGAATGTGGCCCAGTGGTTACTCGATGTTTCAGTGTGAGTTGGGAGGCTGTGCCCAACTTCCCTCTACAGGGGAAAGTGGAGGAAATATTTTTAGACCCTGACATAGTAGGTGCTCATCTGAGACTGGCTGAAGCACATGATGGCGTCCACACAGAGGCTTCACTGCCTCCAGTCACACTCAGCCTCCTCACTGTACCACAGGAGGCCCAGCCTTTATCTTGGCGAGTGACAAACTTGAAGTTATTTGGCAGATGTGCATTGTTTGGGTTAGACATTTCTAATAAAAGGCCATTATTGTTGAGTGGATTTCTTTTGGATCCAGTGCTAATAACACAAGGCCAGTTTGTGTGTAGCTCCACCCCTCCCAGTTGAGAGTTAAGCCGGGTAATGTTCAGTCATTCTTACATGTGGTAACCCTTCTCCAAATGTGTATCCTTCTGTTTTGATATTAGTCATACAGATGCAGAAGTGGGAGAAAGAGGAAGGTGAGTTGTGGTTGGAAAGTGAAAAAGAGGAAAGCGTTGGGTTTGCAGAGATGAAAGGAATTCAACCACATGATTTGGGACCATTTCCCTCCAGCTTGGTTTGTAAACAGATGCACATGGTGCACGTGTTTGAATGCCTGTCTATTGAGCAGCAGTGGCAGGGCTTATCATGAATGAGTTAGGCTGTGACACTTATCATGGTGGTCGTTTGGGCAGCCAATCCCCTCACACAGCCCTCAGTACATGCTGCCGTACAAAGTGTATGTAGGGGCAGTTGTTTATTTCTCTTTGGTGAAAAGAAACTACATATTTTTTCCTCAACAGATGTCGTGCTTTATCGAGGGAGGTTTCTCAGTGTCACTGTGCAAAACTCTCAATGAGCCACACTGACTTGCCTTTTAACACAGAATGCTGTGCCTACTAAAAAGGTGCAGAACTAAAAATCACATGCTCAGTCCTCAGAATACAGGCCGAAATATTTGAGTTTGAGTTTACTAAGCATACAGTTCACTGTGCATGCAACACGTCCTTATTTTAACATTTATTTTATTATTTACCTCTGGGGCAGCATATGTGCTAATTACTTCAGCACCACTGCTATATATTTGAACTGTATGACAGTACTTGACAGGAAAAAAAGTTCTCTGTTAATTAACTGTCAAAAGCAGTGTGGAGTAATGTAAATTGTGATAGATACAGAACAGGAACTCAGTCACAATCATTAGCCTATTTTATTTTATATATGTAGAAATCTAGGTGTACAGTGTTTTGTGTCAAAGGTTTAAATTCTAACTTTGTTAGTCTTTTAACTCTAGAGCTACATATTGACATTAATATCTGATACTATTAGTACTGAATTGGCTATTCAGCGAATTAAGAACTGTTTTGATAAGCATAATTGTTAAAGTCATTTATCAACCAGAGAGGCCAAATATCCAATGTGAAGAAGGCAGTGTTTGTCAGTTTTATGTAATTGTAAATTGAATTACTTTGACATGAGCAATTTGAATAAGTTACTGTAGTCTGTGGCAAAGTGTGGCTGGCATTTTTCACTGCTTTCTACTAGAATGATTAAGTGGGAGAAACAATATAGGGAAACTGTAGACAGATGTACTGTATATCTATATTGACAATGATCATTTCATAGCGTTCTTAGTACTTAGTGCTCTTAGTAGTGGTGGGTGTCATTAGTCAGCTCATGGCTAAGCAGGTTGGCTAGAACACAGAGGACTGACGATTTGAACATGCCTTTATTTACTATAGACTACTAAGAGTTGCAATTGTTTGTATGCGAGTGTCATATGACAGTTGAAAGGCTCTAGCGCTGACGGATACAATTGTGGAGGAAAGATATCTTAAAATATCTCTATCCATATTTGTAGTACGGGATCAAACCTGTTTATGTTTAGTGTACCGTATAGCAGCAAGCAGTGTGCACACTCATTTCTTTGTTCTCTGCTGTCTGCCAGGTCATGGAGGAGATCAGCAATGTCGCTGTACTCATCACACACTCCTCCACTGCCTCCTCTTCCTCCTCTACGCCGTCAGCGCTGGGATCCCTCTCTCAAACCCAAACGCAGCAAGCAGTAGAGGAGTCCCAGAGTTTTCAGCAGAGACAAGCTGCAGATTCTCTCATCCAGGTCATTGAGAAGCTCAGCAAAATCGTGGAAAAGCGGCCCCAGCGCCGCTGTACCTTGGCGGGCCAAAAAAGAGCAGTCCAACAGGCCTCTTCTGCGGGGGAAGGGGGAGGAGGTGTAGAGGGGACAAGGGGGAGTAGAGGAGGCTCTCCACACAGGAAGATTAAGAGGAACTGTAAGGAGCAGGAGAGCGTTCAGGAGGTGAGATTAGAAGGCAGCGCGGCTGACGGCGCTCTTTCTTCACGTGTGTCAGGTGACGGTAACAACAACAACATCACCTCCCCGGCAGCAGAGGTAGCCGGCAACCCCAACAGCAGCGAGCACAAGCGGACGGTGACGTGCTATCAGTGCAGCCTGTGCCCCTACCTCTCCCAAACGCTGCCCCTGCTGAAAGAGCACCTGAAGCAGCACAACGAGCAGCACAGTGACCTCATCCTCATGTGCTCCGAGTGCCGCTTCACCTCCAGAGACCAGGGGCAGCTGGAGGCACACGTCAGGCTGCACTTGGACAACGGCGACAACCTGAAGAGGAATCCCACTGTGTTGGACACCTACAGTGAGCACACAGACGCAGTTTTAAGAAAGCAGGATGGGGACTGGACTGGGAGCAGTATAGGAAACGAAGTGATCAAAAGCTCAGTGGACGGTTCCAAGGAGTTGCCACAGAAGAAGAAGTGGTATAGCTACGAGGAGTATGGATTGTACCGCTGCCTGATCTGCAGCTACGTGTGCAGCCAGCAGCGGATGCTCAAGACCCACGCCTGGAAGCACGCCGGCCTGGTCGACTGCTCCTACCCTATCTTCGAGGATGATGACGGGGCTCCCGCAAGGAGAGAGTCCCAGGCTGCGGCCAACACTGCCGGGACCCGGGAGGAAACGGTCGTTCTTTCCCCGGTTCTTCAAGATAAAAGCGTCCAAAAGCTGGCCACTGCCTACAAGCTCCAGCTGTTTGCTGCTCCGTTGGCTGTCGAAAACAAACGGGACGTGTTGACTCACCCGGTGTCTAATCTTAATGAAAGTCCAAAAACGGAAGAGGAAGAGGAGGAAAGTGTGTACCCTATCAAAGACCTGACCTCCGAGGAGCCCGTGGTGGAGGTTCAGGTGACGACAGAGGCAGAGTCTGAGGTGGAGATTGAGAGTCACCACAATAGCACCTCTATTGCAGACAGCTTGCTGTCATCAGCTCAGAAGATTATCAACAGCAGTCCCAACAGCGCCGGCCATATCAACGTGATTGTAGAACGCCTTCCCTCAGCTGAGGACTCAGTCATGGCGACGAACCCGCTCCTCCTCAGCCCAGACGTGGACAGGGACAAGAGCTTACTGGATGCAGAGGAGGAAGAGCAGGACCATGCAGGAGCGGTGAAGGATGAGGTGGTCCCTGGCTGCAGTGCGGGTAGCACCACCGACAGCCAGCCAGTAGGAGCTACTATTAAATCCTCTGTTACTATAAGTGGCGACTCTCCGCGGGATGAAAACATTCCCCCCGCAGGTCGCAAGAGGACTCATTCTGAGTCTCTGCGCCTGCACTCTCTGGCTGCTGAGGCACTGGTAGCGATGCCTATGAGGACCCCCGAGCTCCCCACCTCCAGCACCAAGGTAAACCTGAAGAGCATCACAGCCCAAGCACAGAGCCAAAACACGGGCCAGAAAGTCGTAGAGGTGACCCCAGCTGGACAGAAGGCTTCTGACGTAGGAACAACAGAAGCTCTTCTGGACTTGGAGCTTCACAGCAAGAGCAGAGAGGAAGATCTGGGGTCCCTGGGTCTGGGGGAGGGAGACGAGGAGGGTCCTGCCACTAAAGCCGGCATCAGCCTGTCACTGCTCACCGTCATTGAAAGACTCAGAGAGCGCTCGGACCAGAATGCCTCAGATGAGGACATCTTAAAAGAACTTCAGGACAACGCGCAGTTCCAAAACGGAGCCGTGGCCGGTGTGGTAACAGGGAACGGAGGCGGGAGTTACATGTGTAGCATCCCAGGAATGGACGGGCTGGTCACCTCTCGTGATGGCAGTCTGGTGGACTACATCCCCGGCAGTGATAGGCCGTACCGGTGCCGCCTGTGTCGCTACAGCAGCGGCAATAAGGGCTACATTAAACAGCACCTCCGGGTGCACAGGCAGAGGCAGCCGTATCAGTGTCCCATCTGTGAGCACATTGCCTCGGACAGTAAGGACCTGGAGAGCCATATGATCCACCACTGCAAGACCAGGATGTACCAGTGCAAGCTGTGCCCAGATGCCTTCCACTACAAGGTGAGGAGCCGGCAGCGCTCACATGGAGCATTTTAATCCTGTTATTCATATCCAGTTATCAGACCATTTAAGTAGTATATTATATCAGTATTTTTTATTATCCTCAGAGTTCATTGAGGTCCGTTGAGGTAGCTGGTGTAGTCTGTGGAGTCTTCATCATGGTAAAAAGTGCAGGCCACGTTGAGCCGTTTGTCAGTATAACACTGGCAGTCCATCACTTTGATTCCTCAGGCTCACTCGTACCACTGTGTAACAGTTCCCCCATACCATTAAATGGACTGCTATAATTAGTCCATGCCCTTATTATTTTTCTACAAAAGCGTTTTACAGAAACTAGGATTGGAATATTCACCCTAAGATTCAGATGTAATCAGAGTAAGGTTAGGTTAGGTTTTTTTCAGTAAGTAACTTGATTTCTCAGGTATTTCACATTTTCCAAACAATTTCCAAAATTCGTTATCTAGAAAATGTTCCATATTTATTCAGTCATATTACACATTGATACCACAATATAAAATAACATACAGGACAACTGTTATTTGTTTAAGTTATTTTCCAAGTTAAAATCCCCTTTGCTCCCAGGTTTCCCCCTTATTTTTTTTTTTATTTTTTTTACATGCACAGTATATTAGTAAATTCTTGGTCTTTGCCCCCCAATCACAAACAGGAGTCTTCTCTCCTGTCAGCATCTAATTTTGTTTCTCAGTAAACCAAACCGAGTTAAAGCCAAAAGAGAGTGAAATTATCTGTGATGTGATGGAGCTTGTTAGTAAGAGATGAGAGCTGGGCCTGGTGCAGCACTGCAGTCACAAGTTGCCTGGGTTTGATGATACAGGAGAAAACTATTGATTCCACTGCTATCATGAGACTCCAGCGAAGATCTGCAGCAGAGATTTTTCATCATTCATCAAGTTCATCATATCATCCAACAGATTTGCGAGTTAGGCTAAGAAAGTTTGTAATTGTGAAGGGTGGACTGTGATAAATACAAATGCAGATCCCACAGGTTTTAAATCAGATTTTATTCATGTTTTTTTTTCTAACTAAAATATATTTTCTTTCTTACAGTATCGCAATATATTGACTCATAACCCCTGTACTTTGATATGTATCGTATGGCCAGATTCTTGCTGATACACAGCCCTACTGTTTCATATTTCACCTTTTAGGTATTTAATATATAAATCAAAGTAAAAAAAAAAACATCAGATTTGGCTGTTTATTGTTTTGCTACCAGGTCCAAAGTTAGAAAAAAGTATTTGAAAAAACATTTTGAATGTCAACTACATATATTGTCATTTCTTTGTGTAGATATCTCATGGTATGTGTGTATTTTCCTTACTCAGAGTCAGTTAAGAAATCATGAAAGGGAGCACCACAGCTTCAGCAGTGATATGGCAGCCCTCACACCAGTCACTGAAACCGTGGCCATGGTGGAGGAAGCCGAGCGGGTAACGGATGAAGGTAAGACGTGTATTTATGACTTCCTCATGTGTTCAGCTAGGAAGATATATGGATATTTAAATGACTAGCTGTTTAACCTCTCCTATATTACAGAATGTGGTATGCAGAAGATGTATAAGTGCGATGTGTGCGACTACACCAGCTCTACATATGTTGGAGTGAGAAACCACCGGCGGATTCATAACTCCGACAAGCCTTATCGGTGAGTTGTTTTAAAAAAAGGAAATTCACCACTGTCACCTCAGTGCAAGCACTAATGCCACTCACTGACTGATGAGCAACTTGGCGCAACACAGCGTGGAGCAAATGGTGTAGGGTTTGGGTTTACTAGCATTTTGAATTTGCAGCTGGAAACTTGATTTAGACTTAAATTGCCTCTATATCTATATGTAGAGCAAAGCATTTGATGTTCCCGGAAACATCAAACAAGGACTAAAAAATCACCAGTAATATTTATTTATTTATTTATTTAAGTATATTTTTCTTGCAATATCCTATAAACAACGTCCTCAAACTTTGGCTCCTCGCGCTGTAGATCTAATGCAGT